TGGTTTTTGAGGAGAAGAGTTTAGGAAAATGGGTTCTAGGAAGCCTAGAAGCAAATGAAAGAAGAATGAAGATGGAGGGAGGCCTTCAGCTGGCACTGCTGGGGCTGCAGAATATCCCCAGAGATGGGGAGGTGGTAGGCACAAAGCCTGCAAGGCCAGCCAGGGCCTGTGGAATCCTGTTGGAGGGATGGGAGGACTCTAAGTAGGGAAGGTGCTTGAGACCTATCCCAAGAAAGACCAAGATCACAGTAACTTTCTGTTCTTCTGAGGGAGAATGATGAAGTCATGGCAGGACCAGAGAGAAGCAACAGAGATTTTCTAGTAAGAAAATCAGTGTTTGGGGGCAGCAGGAGAAATAGTAAGGCTGGTATGAGTGTTGGGAAGAGGGTGGTCTTGACACCAGGGAGGGAGGGAGGACTGGCACTGTTTGAGGCAGGTGAGGAAGGGCAGTGGGTAGATAAACCGCAAGGTAATCAGCTGATCTCAGCCTCCTTTTCTTTCTGATGATGGCTACCTCTTTCTGAGAGTTGTTTCTCCCAGCCTTCATTTTCCAACACAAATCTCTTCAGGGAGTGAGTCAGATCAGGCCACCCTTTGGATCACCTGGCTGTCTTGAGGATTTCAGGATTGTGTAAGGATTGGAGTGAGAAGAAAATGGGAATTTGAGTATAAGATACACCTGTGGCACCATCAGTCCTCTTTGCCATTGAAAGCACAGGCTTTGGGGTCAGCCTGCTTGAATTTCAAACCTGCCTCTGCCATTTAATCTCTTGGAACCTTGTTACTTAATCTCTCTGCACCTCAGTGTTGTTGTCGATAAATGGGGATAATAACCTCTAAGACGGTTGTGAGGATTAAATGATGGTTTGGCATGGTCTGGCTCATAATAAGCGCTCAATAAATATTAGCTATTAGATGTGATTCCCTCTTTCCGTTCTCTTCTGTCTCTCCATGCTTGTCCTTTTCTTCTTTTGTTCTTTCTTCTGAATCTTTAAGTCTGAGATGCCCCATAGGTGTGGAAGTTGAGAAGAATTGGTTGCAACTTGAGGGTCTTTCCATTGAGCCAGGTGAACCAACATGGTAATTAGGTGGTCGGTTGTCTCTTCATTGTCTTTCACTTACAGGTGTGCCTTGTTCCAGGCCAAACCAAGAATCTACTTAAAGTCCTTTTCCTCTGTTCCTCTCTGACACATCATTTCTTTAGATTCTGACTCAGAAATGTAATAAGATCCTAGTTGTGGGGGTTGTGCTGCAAGTGAGGTAGGGACAGAGGTGTTTGAGGAAAGGGAGTGTCCATATCTCACGGGGGGGGGGGGGGGGGGGGCTCGGGAGTGGAGGACTTTGGAAGTTCCATAGTAATTTATGTACATTCCATTGCCTTGTCTTTTGTGGAGAACTTTCCAAAACAGGCCAGTTTCTGGATCCTGGCCAGGGTTCTCCATTCCAAATAGAAGATGGTCATATACAGTTTTTTATAATGTTGGTTTTCCCGCGCCAGTATATGATTCTAGTTCCCTTTTCCCAGCCACACAGACCTCCGCCAAACCGCTTCTCTGTCCTCACAGCAGCCTGTACTCAACAGAATTTGTACAGATGAACCTGGGTGTGCACGCACACATCTGTTTTAGGATATTCCGCTACGTAAAAATCAGATCAGGGTAGGGATGAGTCTGCATTTTATCACAGTCTCTGACTTGACACTTAGAAAAAATTTCAAAGGAGAAACATAACCCCTGAATGTAGGAAAATCTCCACCCAAGTGGGGAGACAGGCAGTCCCAGCAACGAAGCACTCAGCCAGCATCCACGGAGGAGCTTGTCACTGTGCAGAGTGCTGCATTTCTCCTGAGGGGACACAAGAAGGTTGGAGTGTGTCTATCTATGGAGAATAGTCATAAAGGTAACTTGAGGAGGTGAATATTGGATAATCTTTGGCAAAGGAAGAGACAATGGAATAAAAGAAAACTGGAGTAATTAACTATTCCTGTGCAAAGTGGAGGAGGGCAGCCATTGAGTCAGGGTGAGCTCAGAGTGTGGGAGGAGTCTTGTTGGAACACTTCAAATGTTAGATGAGAGATTGTGTGGGATGGACAATAGGGAGCCACCACTGGTTCCCAAACAAAATGTCGGGTTCTTGCTGATTTAACTACATGAGTTACAGGGTACGTGAGAGTGAAAACAAACAAACAAACAAACAAACAGGCTTTCCTGTGGCAGGGATTGTGCTTTTAATGTCTGAAAGGCAGATTGGATCCTCTTTGACTTTCCCTAACCAGTGGTGGGACCTTAGACTGATCATTCCCCCTTAGATTTTTTTCATCTGAAAAAAGAGGTCTACCCTCTGTGCTTGCCAGAGTTGCCTCCAGCTCCGGCTGCTTTCCTTGCATAAAAGGGGCCTTACCAAGCAATGACTGGTTTGTGGAGCCTGCCAAGACCATTTAGTCATTAGCACCTACTGTGTGCCAGTCTGAGGTGGTGAGGAAAATGCTGTGTGGGTCGGATGGCGTGAACAAAAGCAAAGTCCCTGCCCCTTAGAGTTTTCAGGCAGGCAGCAGATAATTGATTCTAAGACTCACATTTTACACTGCTCAAGTCGAGACATCTTAAAATCGATGGAGTGTTTAATTTGCAGCATTTTTTCAAATGAGCGCCACATAAAATAACAGTACAATCAGAATTGTACAAATAACTGTAAAATTCCAGTGGGTAATTGCTGAAGGAAAAGGTACCCAGTGTGTGAGCTCTAGCTAGTCCTCTGAATTGGGAGGAAGGTATTTTGAGGGAATGATGCCTGACAGATAGGAAGGCTGTGTCAGTTAGGTGTGCGGTTGGCAGCAAGATTGCCCCAAGCACAAGTGGATATCTGAGGTGGAGAACAGAGAGAGGCAAGTGTGACTGCAGCGCTGCCCCACGTCAGCATGACAGACTGGCAGAGCTGTTGAGGGAGCAGACCTGACACGCACAGCCTCCCAGGCTTTAGGCAGGGGCTTTGGTCTGAACCCTGAGAACAGTGGGAGCTCTGGTCTGAGGTGCGTTACGATGAGCTTATCGTGGCTTCAGATTGGAGTAGAGGTGGGGAAACCAGTTGGGAGACCCCTGCAGTTGGGCAGGTGGAAAGAGGAGGAGTTGTGGTGAAGGAGAAAATGGAGAAAAATGGATGGACTTAAATCTTTATCTAAAAGGAGCAGCTCTGATATACTGCCAAGGAAGAGGGAGGAGTGACCCAAAGACGGTTTCCTAGCATTTGGCAGAGGGTCCCAAGGCTGCGTCAGGGAAGAGGGTGTGGCGCAGAGAATTGGTTTTTCTCTCCTCTTTTCCTCAGTGTCTAACTTTCCATGCTGAGGAAAGTTTTAGGGGCAGGAACAGGTCTGATGCAGGAAATAGGTGATTCAAGTTGGCATAGTTTGGTTTTTCCCCTTCTGTCCTTAGGACAAAATGGGCTGGAGGAGAGAGAGGACAGAGCTTGTGAAAGGCAGAGATTAAAGCATTTCTAGGTGCTGCACCTTCATATAGGGCTGACTGGGACAGGGAATTTGGGCAGCAGGGAGGCGGCACCTCTAAGCAGCTACCACCTTCCGTCCTTTCTGCACGCCCGTCCCCTTCAAGCAAAGCGGAGGAAGGACAGAGCCTTTACCGTGCATCTGCAACCTTGATTCACTTACGGGTTGTGAATGTGTAATATGCGTGTGCACATTCGAAAGTTACCAGAAGGTATACCGTGTGAGGTCTGGCTTCCACCGCTGTCTCCTTTCTACTGATTTCTTGTGTGTCATCTTTGTCTCCCAATTTTTATGCAAGTGGTATAATTTGCTGCCCTTTGATTATTTCCCTTCACTTGTTAAATCTTAAGCGGTTGTTCCATATTAGGACGGTGAGCTTCTCCATTCTTTCTGTGGCTGCATTCCATTTTATGTTTGTGTATAATCATATAGCCTTACTGATGGATATCTAGGCTGATGCCAGTCTTCTGTTTTCACAAATAATGCTGAACTGGAAATCTTATACATACATCATTTTGGCCACAGGCCTAGTCTATTGGAATGAATTTTTAGAATTGGAAGGTTCCATATAAAGAAGATTAGTTCCTTCATTTGTTTATTTGTTCAATATTTATTGAGTACCCACTATGTGCCAGACACTGTGGCAGGTCTCAGGAATCCAGCTTTCAACAAGTAAGATGTGATCCCTGCCCCTCATGAAATTGGAAGGATCTGCTTTAAATAGAAATACTTTTTTAGCAAATGATATTTAAGCTGAGAATTAAAAGATGAGGTTGTGGCACAGAGAACCCTAACTTGTTTATGCATCACCTCTGGGAAGATGAGTTCAGGACCTATAGTGGCAGGGGTGGGGTGGGGGGAGCCTGGGGGGGCGGTGGGGAGTAGAGCCGAAGTGACGGAGGAAGTGCTGGGGAGTGGAAGATGTCAAAGAAAGCGAGTGACTTAAGACGGGGCCTGTTAGTGGAGGAGCTGGCAGTGGAGAGAGGATTGGAGGGCTAGTACTTATGGGGCATTGCTGACTGTGGTTAGACGGCTTTGGGGTTGAATCTTTCTGATGGCTGAATTCAAAAAAGGAAAAGAGAAGCCATTTCCTGAGTGCTTTGGGAATGAGAGGCTTGTGAACTGCTGTAAGGAAGGCCCAGCTTTGCCCACAGGCAGGAAAATGAAAGGAAAGCCTTGAGGAGAACCTGTGATAGGGTCTCCTACATCTTTTTGGTGGCTTTGGCAAAGTGGAAACTTCAAAACTCAAGTTGGCATTGACGGGGCTTACCCAGCTGGCTCTGGGCTGCCAGAAGCGGACCTGCTGGGTCTCAGAGCTGGAGGTGGGCAGGAAATTGGCCTTGGAGACCCTTCTTCTGAACTTTGTGCTCCTTTTCCATCCTCACCCCTCTGCTTCCCTTCTGCGAAAGCCCATCTCTTTGCCCGTCCTGGGTCCTATGACTTTTCTCTCCCTCAACAGTCGGTTCCCGATTCTGGTCCCCGGCCCCCTGCAGCGCCTGCCCCCTTCCCACCGGGGCCCCCCATGATGCCACCACCCTTCGTAAGTTTTATGTCTTTCCCTGGGCTTGGCTTTTCCAGCCTGCACCCCCAACTCCCCAGTCCCTAGCTCTGCTGCATCGCCAGCATGGTTTTTGTGTAACTCCCCTTCTGTTACCTTTGAAAGGTGATGGTTTGGAAAAGGGATGGTTTTGCTTGGGTATTGGGTGGGAGGAGTTGCTGCTGAGCTCTCCGTCCATAAAGTTGACAGTCGTCCCTTTGTCTTTCTGTCCGTGGGACGCTGGGGTTGGGCAGGAGAAGTGGCGAGGAAAAGACCCTGAGAGCGAGGGCCGGATGGCTGTCTTTTTCCTTCACTGCTCCTCGTCTGTGTTCCTTAAATACGCCACACAAGTTAGGCTGGAACAACAGTTGGTGATCTTCGAATTGGAGAAAAATGGGATGCAGAACGGGGCAGTTTGGGCACCTGGACACCTGCCTCTGGCCCTGCATCTGAGCGGCCTCTTTGGGGAGAGCTGCTGAAGAGGTGGATTTCTTCCAGCCGCAGTCTGGTGGCAATTACACTTCCTTTTCCCTCTCCATTCCCTACCTCTCAGGAGCTGTATGCTTGCCTGTTAGACCCCCAGGAACCCCCAGTTATCAGTCTTTCTCAGTAGTGAGGAGGGAGGCAGTTTCATGCTTTATATTCCTCAAACTACAGCTCAGGAATTGCCTCAGAGCCGGGGTAGAGGTGGGGTGGGAGACAGATGGGTTTCCTGACAGGTCCAAGGCAGTGTCTTTACTGCTCAGTATCTCTTCTTTTCCTCATTTTCAGATGCCCCCTCCAGGAATCCCCCCACCCTTTCCTCCCATGGGGCTACCCCCCATGAGTCAGAGACCACCAGCCATCCCCCCCATGCCACCTGGCATCATGCCCCCCATGCTTCCACCAATGGGAGCACCACCTCCTCTCACACAGGTAATCCTCACCCCTTCACCAGGGCCTCAAAAAACCGCCATTTTAGCTGGGAGTGGAGACGAGAGTGGGTACCTGACTTAAGAAACTGGGAGGGAAGGGAGCTTTGGATCCATGTGGATTTGTCTGCTGATTGATGAGAAAGCACTCAGGCTACGCTGCGAGTCCAGAACCTGGGAGTTGACTGATCTCACCTTGGTAGCTGGTTTCTGTCTTCTTTGTATCCCTAGATACCAGGAATGGTACCTCCAATGATGCCAGGAATGCTGATGCCAGCGGTGCCTGTCACCGCAGCGGTAAGCCCTAGGGACCGGCAGGCAGCAGGCCCTGCCCTGCAGTCCTGTGGGTCTGAATTGGCGTACAGGGATGGGGCCGCCATCGTTCCCTCTTCTCATTGGCTCCATCCTGGTCCCTGGCAGCACTCCCACCACTTGAGACCGCCTTTCCAGCCATATACTCTCAGCTCTTCTACTGTCTCCTTCACCCCCAAAGGCGTATGCATTCTCTTGTAGCCCCTCAGCACCCAGCTCCCTAAGGAGCACTCACACCAGACACCCCTTACCCTTGCAAAACTAGCACCGTGGATACGAGGATATAATCTCTTCACGTCGTCTTTGTCTCTGGAGGAAGCACTTGGTGATCTCGCTGTACCTTTTGTGCCATTTTTCAGTAGTCGAGTCTGGGTAGGATGCAGAATTTGGCATCCACTGTGGAAGAGAAGGGCGTTAGAGGTTGACTTAAAATACTCTCACTTGAGGAAGGAGAAAGGAGCTGCTGTGTGATTCCCCCTGGGATCTTAGCGCCACAGCCCTATCGGGTGGGGGAAGCCTGTTAGGGAGCAGAGAACCCTGGGAGCAGGACTCCTGGATCCTGGCCCGGCCTGCTTCTCCATTCCCCATGGCCTGGGTCCTGGGGGCCTCCGGGCTTGGCCCCAACCCTTCCCCCTCCTCTTTCTTCGGCAGACGGCTCCGGGTGTGGACACCGCCAGCTGTGAGTCTTCTGGGGGCCTGCTCCCCCCAGGCTCGGAGGTTGGGGGGTTCAGGGGCAAGGGGACCATGGACTAGAGCCTTCCCTGGATCATGCCTGTTGGGATGCCAGGGAGCCTGGGATGTTGATGGGCATAGGGGCGATTTATTGGGGATGGAATACGGGAGGAATAGGCGGGGATGAGATGGGGTTTGGGACAAGGGCTTAGGATATTTCCTTTGGCTTCTTTTCTAGCTGCTGTGACTGGGACAGGCCCTCCGGTGAGTTCTGACTCGGGGGTCTCTGGGTAGAAAGGCTGAAAGTTGGGAGCTAGTGGTTCAGTCTTTGGAGAGAGGAAGACAGACTTGGGCAAAGGGGCCTTGACCGCAATGCTGTGCCCTCCCCCTTCCCCAGAGAGCCCTGTGGAGTGAGCACGTGGCCCCCGACGGGCGCGTCTACTACTACAATGCCGACGACAAGCAGTCTGTTTGGGAGAAGCCCAGCGTGCTCAAGTCTAAGGCAGAGGTCCTGAGTGGAACTTTTTGGCCCTTCTTTCAGCTGCCCTGACCCTTTCAAGTACTGGCCGTCCCCGAGTCTCTAACCATACACTTGCGGCTCCTTTGATCTCCCGACCTCCCTAGGCTCTCTGGAAGTCCACTTCCCAGGTTGAGCCAGGCCAGATGGTAGCCAAAAACTCTCGTGTTCCCTTCACCCAGCCCCCTTAGTTCTCCCACCGGGGACTCGAGGGCATGTCCAGCCCACAAACGTCGTCTGACCCATCCTCTTACAGCTGCTGCTGTCCCAGTGTCCCTGGAAAGAATACAAGTCAGATACAGGCAAACCTTACTACTATAATAACCAGAGTAAGGAGTCGCGCTGGACCCGGCCCAAGGACTTGGATGACCTGGAGGGTGAGGTGGGGATGGACCTGGGAAGGGGCTCTGGGGGTGCCCTTGTACCCTGTGACCATATCGTCTTCTCCCATTGCAGCTCTGGTCCATCAGGAGGCTGCAGGGTGAGTGGCTTGCTTCCCTGTCTCCTTGGGGCCACCTGAGGGGTAGGCGGGAACTCGCCCCAGTGGTCCCTACTCCAGGGGAGAAGTGTGGCAGTCTCCCTATGGAGTAGCCTACTCTGGCTTCAGTCTTTCCCAGGATAGACCCGCCAACCCAACCGCCTCTGTCCCTGTTCTACTCCCGGGACACTGTCCTTCTGGCGCACCCGCAGGAAACAGCAGCCGCAGCCACAGGCCTTACAGCCGCAGCCTCCTCAGCCGCAGCCTGAGCCACCTCCTGCGCCTCCTGGCCCCACGCCAGTGCCCGCGGACCTCCTCGAGCCTGAGCCAGGTGGGAGTGAAGATGGCGATGTGTCAGAGGCCGCCCAGCCCCTGGAGCAGGGCTTCCCACAGCGGCCAGAGGAGGGCCCCAGCAGGTGAGGACTGCCCCCGTCTCTGCAGAACCTACCGTGGCTTTGTGGTTGCTGCTCTCCGGTTCCAGCCCGGAAAGGGGGTGAAGGTCTGGGCACGACCTCCGAAGGGCAGAGAGGGGCTGCCTGGGGAGCCAGGAGGGAGTGGTGTGCTGCTGGTCACGTGGGCACTGAAACCTCAGGGACTGGGGGATGCCGTGGCTGAGTCCCCTCTGCCCCCCAGTTCTGCTGGACAGCATCAGCCACCCTCGCAGGAGGAAGAAGAATCAAAGCCAGAACCAGAGAGGTCTGGCCTCAGTTGGAGCAGCCGGGAGAAGGCAAAGCAGGCCTTCAAGGAACTGCTGAGGGACAAGGTGCTGGGGTGGGGCTCCTGGGTAGGCCTGGAGGGGGCTGGAGGTGGGCGGGCCCGTGACTCCCACCTGCTCCGTTCTAGGCTGTCCCCTCCAATGCCTCGTGGGAGCAGGCCATGAAGATGGTGGTCACCGACCCCCGTTACAGGTAGGCCTGGGCAGAGGGAGCCAGGCCCTTTAGCCCCTGTTCGTGAGAGCATCTGGGCCAGGGACTCCCCAAACTCCATGTGCAGGTCCCAAGGGGGCCCAGAGTCAGGGGAGTGATAGATGGGCGAGGGTGCAAGGGGAAGAGAAACCGGAGGGCCTCCAGGAGGAGGGGAGAGGTATCTGACGTGAGACACTCAATAAATGCTTATTGACTTGAATTGATTTGAATTGAATTAATTGGGCAAAGAGGGGGCTGGTTGGGGCAGAGGCGTGGCTGCGACTTGAGAACTCCAAAGCAGAAGCGCCCAGGATTAGCAGTGTCTTGGAGCCGCATCTCTTCCCCTCACTGCCCCTCAGACCCCCACATCCTGGGACCTGTCTTGCCTCCTTTGTGCCCTTGGAGCCCCTGCCACCTGCTGTGCCCATGCATGGACCCCCTCGCTCAGTGCTTAGAGACCCAGCCCAGTGCCAGGATCCTGTTCTGCGGGAGGTACTGGATACTTCAGCTGACTCCTGTATCCCTACCTTCTCCACCTCAGTGCCTTGCCCAAACTGAGTGAGAAAAAGCAGGCATTCAATGCCTACAAGGCGCAGCGGGAGAAGGAAGAGAAGGAAGAGGCCCGGCTTAGGGCTAAGGAGGCCAAGCAGACCTTGCAGCATTTCCTGGAGCAGCATGAACGCATGACTTCCACCACCCGCTACCGGTCAGGGGGCCAGGCTGGGGTGGGACACGGGGACCCTGAAACTCGCAGGCCCAGGGTCTCTGTTTTCTGCCTCCTACCCACCGCCCGTATGCTCCACAGGCGGGCAGAGCAGACCTTTGGGGAGATGGAGGTCTGGGCGGTGGTCCCCGAGAGGGATCGGAAAGAGGTTTATGATGATGTCCTCTTCTTCCTGGCCAAGAAGGAGAAGGTAACGAGCCTAGTCTCTCCATCTCTTACTGCCTTATGGACCCTGGCCATTCTCGTCTCCATTTCCCCAGGGGCCCAGCTCCTTATTGGAGCTGGTGTGGCACATCCCCCATTTCTGCTCTGGGCCTGCTGCCCTGGGGGTGGGAGGTCAGGAAGGAACTTCTGAGGGAGTTGGTCTGGAACCTGTGTTCCTTCCTTGTTCCTAGCACACGAAAGCCTTGAGTCTGGCTCTCCTAAGGTGCCCTCGGTACCTGCCTTTTCCTCGAGTCCTCCCCTGCCAGGTCCACTTGAGTATCTGTGGCCTGCCCTCCCTCACCCTGACCCTGTGGCTCCCTAGGAACAGGCCAAGCAGCTCCGGCGCCGTAACATTCAGGCTCTGAAGAGTATCCTGGATGGGATGAGTAGCGTCAACTTCCAAACTACATGGTCCCAGGCTCAGCAATATCTTATGGATAACCCCAGCTTTGCTCAGGACCATCAGCTGCAGAGTAAGCCTGGGTCTCCAGTCCTCGTCTCCCCTTCCCTTTTCTCATTGGCCTGGGCCCCAGAGCCTGCCTCACACAGCTCCCGTGCACATCCTGCCTTCTTGGATGCCCGGGAGTCCCCAGTGCTCGCTCAGCCCCTGTACCTCTCCTGGAGATCCTGTAATGCTTCAGGACAAGCGCCCTCCCCCTCCCCACCCCCGGCCCACTATTGATCTCCACATTGTGTGTCCTTGGAGAGACAGGCGCCAAAGGTTCTGGAGATGATGGGGATTTTTGTGGCTCATGTGAACGTGTTCGTAAGTCGCCATGGCACCCTGGCCTTACCTGGTCGGTGCTATGATAAGCTGCCGGAGGCCTGTAATCACTGGCTGTGTCAGCATCTTGCCTTCTGAAGTTGCCTCCAAGCCCGCTAGATTCCTAGATCAGTAAAATGTGAAACCTAAGATTCTGTGGAACTGTTTCCTATGTTGAGACTTCAATAACCAGATTCACAAGAGCTGAATACTTGCTCCAGGAACTTCCCCCAGAGTGCCCTTCACCACCACCTGGCACTACAGGGGCGGCGGCCTGGAAACACTGCGGGGCATGGGGTGTGAGGGGGTGTCTCCCTGGAGTGGTGCCTGTTGAGCCTCCTTCCTGCCATCAGACATGGACAAGGAAGATGCACTGATATGCTTTGAGGAGCACATCCGAGCACTGGAGAGGGAGGAGGAGGAGGAGAGGGAGCGCGCTCGGCTTCGGGAGCGGCGCCAGCAACGCAAGAACCGGGAGGCCTTCCAGGTATCTTTGCCACCCTCCAGATCCGAACTCAGCTCTCCCCAGACTGCAGTCCTCCGCCCGCCTCCTCTCAGCCAGGTTCACTGTTTGGTCTGTGCTCGGTCCCGTGTCTGCTGGCGGGCCTTCTGCCGGAAGCGCTGCTCCCGCCGTGTCCCCGCAACTCGGGCCATGCTTCCCTAGGGGGCGTAGATGTATGCGCCACCCGGAAATTGCCAGCGTAGAGCCCCCCTCACAGCACGGCTTGGCAGCTAAGCCAAGGTTCTTTCCCGAGTTTATGGGGAACCAGGCAGGCAGAGCCAGCTTGTCCCCCAGCTTGGCGATGGCAGTAGTATGGTAGTGGTGGGGGTTTCTTCGCTGTAACACACTGGGAAAGTAAAACCAAGTCTTGGGAAGATGGTGCTGCAGGCAAGTTTCTGTTTCTTTGCCTCCCAGACCTGTTCCTTCTCACGTCTTGGTCTGTCCCTCCATGGTTACGTGCTGCCCTTTCGCATTGCTCTCTGCCTCCCCATCTGTGTCTCTTCACCTTCGTTGCCTTCCCTGCATTTCCTCAATCTGGATTGTCCCTTCCTCTTCCTGTGTTCCCTCTCCCCCCCAGTATTTGCCTCCCTCCCTGCCTCACTCTCCCTATAACTGTCCTCTCCCTGCTCAGACCTTCCTGGACGAGCTGCACGAGACAGGGCAGCTGCATTCTATGTCCACCTGGATGGAGCTGTACCCAGCCGTCAGCACTGATGTCCGCTTTGCCAACATGCTGGGCCAGCCGGGTAAGGCAGCCAGGCTCTCCCTTCTCTGGCCTGGCTTCCTGCCCTGCCAGCCTCTCTGCACCCCTCTCCCTGGTCCTGTCCTCAACCCTACCCCCTGGCCTTGGGAAGCTGCCGCCCGCCAGGCCCCCCTCCCTCCCTCCCCCACAGGCTCCACCCCTCTGGACTTGTTCAAGTTCTATGTGGAGGAGTTGAAGGCACGGTTCCATGATGAGAAGAAGATCATTAAGGACATCCTTAAGGTGAGGGAGGCCTGGGCTTGTAGATGGATGCAAACTGAGTGCAGGGTGTGCTTATGCCAGGGGTCCCTAATAAGTCCTGTTCTGCAGGTGCATGCAGCTCAGTTTGGCAGGTATCTGGGGGGCATGCCAACATGAGTAAGGTAGTGTCTGCCCATGGAGCTTCTGGCTTAGTAGGAAGGTGGATGTGACAACTGTTGAGGAGAGGGACAGTGCTATTCCAGAGAAGAGGATCAGAAGAACTCACATTAGGCCGCCTCTTTAAGGACAAGGAGGTGAGGGAGGATGAAGAGCAAAGGCAAGGGGGTGGAGGGACCCGGTGGCTGGGGCCGTAGGAAGTGGCGCTAATCAGTTGGCCGCCGTGGACGTGCTCTTGCTCGCCTGAAGAGTGTCTCAGAAACACTGACACTCACTGCTAACGTTTAAAAAAAAAAAAATTTAAAAATCGGGGTTGCCCTTAAAAATCTGCTTCTTTGGCTTCACTTGCAATTTGGAGTTCCCTAGCCGCCCTCGGCTGGGTTTGTCAGGCATTCGGGGGACTCGGGTCGAGATGCCGCTGCCTTTTAGAAAGGGCCCCTAACACGACAGCAGCAAATGGAACTGCCATTTTCTGGCATGTGAGTGTTTTTATTTTCTTATACTGGAGACATACTTTCAACATAGGTGCCTGTCAAGGTGGAAAAGCGAGTGGTGGACTAGGAGAGCCTGTGTTCAAGAAATAAACTTGAACTGCCCTGAGAGAGTGAGGGGCATTCTTAATGCCCGCGCGGGAGCCGCGGGGTGTGATAGTGAGGGCCCGGGGTGGAGGCAGACTGCTTACGTGGTGTGCAAGTTCAGCTTCGCCACTTACCAGTCGTGTGACCTCGGGCAGGTTAACTTTTCTGATCCTTAATTTCCTCATCTAAAAAGTGGGGCGTTTTCCACCAAACAACACCTGATTGCCGAGGGGAATAACTTGGTACCTGGAATGAGGAGGGTCTGATGATAAAGCTAGAAGTGTCCACTGCATCTGTAGCATTTCTTTGAAGTCCTGTGTTTTGCCTTGTGAACCATGCAGGTATTGTACTTTAATGCCATGTTGCTTTTCCATGAAATATAAAGAGTATTTTAACATCACCATTAGGTAAGATGTAGCATATCTGTGGCTTCCTGTTTTTCTGGAACCACAGACCCCAGTCTGGAAGTGGCACCCTATGTGTAACACGCCTTGAATGCTAACATGAGAAATGTTTATCTTGTAAGTGATAGGGAGCCGGAGAAGTATATGTCCAGATGGTGACTTAGAGAAGCCCTGGCGTGTGGCGCTGACTACCTGTGTCCTTAGGGGTAGGGAGAGAGAGGAGCCTCAGGGTGCTGAAAGTGATAGTGGCCAGTAATTCAAATTGGAGTGTGAATCATCTTCTGATCCACCCCAGACCTTTCCCCTGCTGCTGGTCTGTTGGTGAAACATCTGAGCAGCACTTGGCTCTCAAGGCTGGGCAAGAAGGTTGGGGAGTGAGTGGGGAGACCGGTCTGGAGGCGACTGCAGCATCCAGGTGTGAAGTGAGCTCAGGTGGGGATGCAGGGAGGACCGATGAGAGGGCCGTAGTGTTCCGTGGTTTTCTAAGACACCCTGGGACAAGCAGGGGGGTTGAGTTGGGAGGGGGGTTTTATTTCCCTTCCTCTGTTTTCAAGGATAGCAGCTGGCTTTTCTTTTATACATTGAGGTTCTACATAAAATTTTTATTTAAAAAAAATAGTTTCTGCTAGTAAAAAAGTTCAAAGCCAGTGGAATAGTCTTTAAAAATAGAATTGTAGCTCTCGTGTGTGTGGCGTGGAGGGAAAGGAAGGAGTGGACATGGGCAGGGGTGGATGATTGGGAAGAATGGAGCGGGAAGAATAGGGCTGGAGAAAATAAAATTCCACTTGGGAAATTATTCTCAAAAGCAACCAGGGGCATGGAAGAATAAAGCAAATTCCATGTCTTAAGTATGCTTACTATATAAAATAGATAGGCTAGTTGGGTGCTTATTAACTTCTAGTGCAGGGTGACTGGTCCTGCTGACAGTGTGCAAGAGTCCTGTCCTCACGGAGTCCTGCCTTGCTACCTCCTAAGGAAAAGCTTCTTTAGAGAGTTCCCCTTCCTGTACCCCCTTTTGGGCTCCTGCCTAAGGAAGGCGGATGAGCCCAGAGGACACTGTGGCTGTCCACCTGCCAGGCACACTGTGATGGCACCTCTCATCCCGTAGGAGAATGCCAAGAGCCCTGGACGTCGAACAGCTGGAAGACAGAAGATCCGGGCCTGGGAGATCGGTGGGGGTGGGGCCTGTGGAAAATACTGAATTTATTTATTTATTTTTAAAGATTTATTTGTGCATACAAGAGCTGGGGTACAGGCCAGAGATGCGGGGGTTGAGAGGATTCACCAGAGACAGAGTGGGGAGCAGAACAGGCAGACTGACTGAAAACACTGCTGAGGGGAGCAGTGGGCAAGACAGGAGAGGTCTGCTGCACCATGTGGGTTGCTCCCTGGCCGGCTGGGGATCGAACTCGTGCTGCAGAGGCTGTGGATTGCTTCATAGTGCGGTACTTAACCCCTTGCGCCACCAGGGAGGCCCGAAAATGCTGAATTTAAGGTATCCATGAAGCATCCATTCTAATAGGCATCTAGAAATCAGGAGAATTGGGGGTGACTGCTAGGAACAGTGTGGATGGATAGTGAGGGGAAAATGCTATTTTCAAGGAATAAGCACGTGCTGGTGTTGAGGTGGTGAAAGGTCAGACAGGAGGGAACCCTGGAGAGGGGAGTAATGAAGCGGTAAACAGTGAGGTGCACAAGGACTGAGAAGGGGCCCTTGCAGTTGGCTGTTGGGACACGAGCACCCTCAGAGAGCAGTGTTGGAAGAGGGTGGAGTGGGTGCAATGCAGGCTGGGAGCCCGGCAGCTCCTGGCTGCTGATTGAGACCCCTGCAAGCTCTAGGATGTCTCAGCCTCATTTCCTCATCTGTAAAATGGGGATAATTTATGTGCAAGGTTGTAAGAACTATGTTTTTTGTGAAGTGTCTTAGGGTAGGCTCAGTAAATGTGTATTCCTTTCCTCGTTGTGTTGCATTTAAAGAGATTTTTGAAACAAAAGGAAAAGAAGCAGAGACTTGGCTTGAGAAAGGTGAGAGCAGGGTAGAGGGTGCTCCAGGTTAGGGGAGGTGTGTGCTTGATGGAAGGAGCCCGTGAAGAGGTGAGATTGAAGCTTTCAGTTCCCTGAGAGAACGGGCTTGAGTGCGTGGCCTGAGGAAGCCTCGTGGAAGAAGCAAGCAGAGCGCGTGCCTCTGCCAGCGGTGGGAAGCTGGATGTGGGGCGTGTGCCCTCGCTGACTTAAGAGCCAGACTTCAAACTCCAGTCACTCCAAATACTTGGTGATGTCTTGGGCCAAATGAGATGACTTTCCCAAGCCTTTGCTTCATTTGGGGTATTTGTGGAGCTTATATGAGGGGCACGGAGCCTGGCGCATACGCTTCCAAAATGTGAGGTGATTTTGTTGGGACGTGGCGCACCTGATGGCCTTTCTCCGTCGTGGAGTAAGTGATCTAGTCCGTGCGGGGGGAGAGGGGGTGTTCTTACAAGGACGCGCTTGGTGTTTCTGAAGCCCTGGGGTGGAGACCTTGCCTGGCATGGACTGCTGGGCGAGTGGGGAACTGCTTTGCTTTCTCTAAACCTTGGTTTAGGGGGCTAGGACCTCTGCTTAAATTTATGGATTAAGTGATGTGTGACGCACTTAGCGCCGTACCAAGTATATAGTAAGCGCTCAATAAAGAGACGCAAAGGGCAGGGACCAGCGGATGCTGCTGGAGAATGTGTGGAAGTTACTGAGCAGCAGGAGGGCCCTGCCAGGACCCAAGATTTCAGCCAAAGGAACAAAGAGCTAATTGTGAGGAACCCCGACGTCAGTCAGCGGGCAGGGAGACACACCCCTGCTCTCCCTCCCTGAGGGAGCCAGTGCCCCCAGCTCCCTGTGACAGCCAAATCAAGGGTAGGTAGGCATGGGGGCTTGTCCCCTGTGAAGTTTGGGATAATATCTTTCCTGAAGTGCGTCTTGGTCCTGTGGATCACTTCTGGGGGCAGGGGTCGTCTTGGGTATCCTGTAGCCTGACCCCTCTGCCTGCTCCTGAGGCCAGCCTGGTACCTCAGCTGGTGGTGCTAAGTGTGCCTGCTGTGCCCACAGGACCGGGGCTTCTGCGTGGAGGTGAACACAGCCTTTGAGGACTTCGCCCACGTCATAAGCTTTGACAAGAGGGCGGCTGCGCTGGACGCAGGCAACATCAAGCTGACCTTCAATAGTGTGAGGGGCTGGGCTGGGCAGGGCTGGGGCTGGAGCTGTGCTCGAGCTCATCCTTGTGTTGTCCCATTGTGACTCTACCTGCTGTTCAGGGGGGTGACAATAGGGGCCCGAACCCCAACTTCCCACTTCCTCAGGTATGCCTGAATGGGACCCAAGCACCCACCCTTCTGGGTGACCTGCTCTGTCTTCTGCCTTCAGCTGCTGGAGAAAGCGGAGGCCCGGGAGAGAGAGCGGGAGAAGGAGGAGGCGCGAAGAATGAGGCGCAGGGAAGCTGCCTTCCGAAGCATGCTGAGGCAGGCCGTGCCCACTCTGGAGCTGGGCACTGCCTGGGAAGAGGTCAGGACTGCAGCCACACACCCAGCACCACCCCTACCCTGAGGAGGCTGGTGCTTCTCTACCACCCAGCCAGCCCCAGTTGTAGCCCCCTGCAGGCCGCTGACGCGCTTCCTCAGCCTTGCGCTGCGCTGTCGGGGCCTCCTTGCCCTGCGGGGCTGCTCTGACCAGTGGTGCTCTCTTTGTTCAAGGTCCGTGAACGTTTTGTGTGCGACTCAGCCTTTGAGCAGATCACCCTGGAGTCGGAGCGGATCCGGCTCTTCCGGGAGTTCCTGCAGGTACTGGAGGTGAGGCGGTGCTTTTGCTCCTCCGGTCTGTCCCAGGCTGGCGAACGCCTTAGGGCAGCTCAGCAGAGACCTCACCTCTGGGGTTCTCCTTTCTCTGAACAACTAGGGAAGGCGAGGCCTCAGGGTGCCCTGGGAGAGGCCTAAGGCCCTGACCGGAGAGGAGGCAAAACCAGGTTTTAGGGTGCAGGTTCCTTGCTAGGGCTAACCCTAATAACCCTTCGCCATCCCTCCCCCTGCCTCTGCCAGACCGAATGCCAGCACCTCCACACCAAAGGCCGAAAACATGGCAGAAAGGGCAAGAAGCACCACCGCAAGCGTTCCCACTCGCCCTCAGTGAGTTGGAGGGTGGACGGCATGTGGGTGAGGCTGGATGGTCTTGGGGAAGAACCGCTTTGCTTGTTTTTCCCATAATTCACCTTCCCTGGAGATTTGAGGATTACTTTGCTCCTGGACCCCCCTCTGCATCCCAGTTCCCAGGTCGGAGGACTTTGCTAGGGCGGAGAACCTCTGCTGACGTGTGTTCGCCGATCTGCCTAGGGTTCGGAGTCAGAAGAGGAGGACCTGCCCCCGCCATCTCTCCGGCCCCCCAAGCGGAGAAGGCAGAACCCCTCAGAGTCGGGCTCTGAACCCTCTTCCTCACTTGACTCAGTTGAAAGTGGGGGTGCTGCCCTTGGAGGACGGAGCTCCCCATCCTCCCACCTTCTCCTCGGATCCGGTAAGCAGTTGCTGAAAAGGGTGGGCCCAGAGGGAGGGGAAGCCCTCGAGGAGCCCCAGCGCCCTGGAGGGCAGCGTGCAGTGGGAGGCCGTGCCTGTCCGAGCAGGGGGACCGTCCCATCCCCGCCGTGGCCGGAACTGGGAGAGGAAGAAAAACTGAACCTCCTCAATAGTTTTGTCTGTGAGGAGCGAGCACATGCTGTGGAGAGGAAAGGGTGAGTCCTCCCTTCTCCCACAGGACTTGGCGTTTTTCTGCCCCCAGATCATGGCCTTCGGAAAGCCAAGAAACCAAAAAAGAAAATGAAGAAGAGAAGACACAAGTCGGTGTGTAGAGAAGGAACTTCTGTCCGAGGCCCTGCTATTTTGAGATCTCTTCCACCCGCCTCCCGGGCTGTCCTTCACAGGAACTGAGGAGGCGGGCTCTGGGCTCTTACAGAACAGTCCCGAGAGTGAGACAGACCCCGAGGAGAAAGCTGGCAAGGAGAGCGATGAAAAAGAAGCAGAGCAGGACAAGGATAGGGAGCTCCGGCGGGCAGAGCTCCCTAACCGCTCTCCAGGCTTTGGAATCAAGAAGGAGAAGGTGAGAGGCAGGCACCGGGCCCCGGCCCAGTCAGCCCTCTGACCAGGCCTCGACGGCCCCTGGGGAGGCTCTGGGTGAGCTGTGCCTTTGCTCCACCAGACGGGGTGGGACACGTCGGAAAGTGAGCTGAGCGAGGGCGAGCTGGAAAGGCGGCGGCGGACACTCCTGCAGCAGCTGGATGACCACCAGTGACCCGACGAGCTGCTCGGCCTCGGGTCTGTGTGAGGCTGTGGCTCCCAGCTCACCCTCGCCATCTGCCCCAGCCTCCTTCCTTAGTTGGTCCGTTTCCACTCTTCCTCGAGTCACCCCACTCCCCACACTACTGCCGGCACCTTCCCAGGTGGCTTGTGGTGGCCAGGGGTCCCCCACTTCCCGGACGACTAGCGCAGCCCTCGCCCTCGACCCCAGGCAGACTGGCGGTACCTGCTGTGTGGGGAGGGTGGTGCCAGTAGATAAAATGTGAGAAGGGGCTCCGGGGAAGCGACAGGCCGGTGGACACAGCCAGGGTGGCAGAGGGCGGGGTCCTTACCCTCTTAGCATCAGTGCCTGCTCCTGCCTGCCGGGGCCCTGGGCTCCACTACTTCCTCCTCCAGCCCCAGAACCCAGTGTATGTGTGTTTGGTTTTGGTTTTTTAAATAACAATATTTATAACACGGCCAGTGGCTCTCTTGTCTCTTGCATATGCTACCGGGGCGGCTGGGGCCTGGCCGGGACACGCGTGGCCAGCAGAGGGCAGCAGTGTCTCACGGCAGGCCACGCTCCCTTTGTGTGCTTGGCGTCCACCCGCTCCGGTTCCCCTCCCTGGGTTCTCACCCCCACCTCCCCCAGGCAGCTGGCAGCTCTACCCAGACGCCTTCCCATCCCACGGCTCAGGCCGCTCTGGCCCCCCACACTCAGAGAGGAGACAGAGGCAGGCCTGGTGCTTCAAGCTTTTGTTGAAAGTGGGCTGGTCTGAGGTTTATGTACAAGAGGGAAGGGAGGTGGTACATGTACAAAAAGGAGTGGGCCCCTGTATTCCTTCCCTTGCAGGGGCTGAAAAGAAACTGGCGGAGACTGAGCAACTGGTCAGCTAGGACCACCACGCCTCCTGCCAAAGAAAACCTAGCTGAGGAGAGCAGGTGAGGGTGACGCTGCACCGCTCTCTCTAGCAGGGCGGACCTCCACCCCCACCCCCACCCACGGCAGGGCCCGGCCATCCCAGAGTGACAAGGGCCAAAGGAGTCGGGTGGTGGCACCTCTGCCCCCACCACTGGACACAGCTGCGCAGGGCCAGGCTGAGGCGGCCTTGCTCCTGGTAAAAGGTGACCTGACACTGCAGGACTAGATGTTTCTAGAGCAAAGCTGGCCACAGGGCTGTGAAGAGGAAGAGGGGGGATTGTTCTCTCTCTCATCCCTCTGCTCTAGAGGCAGCAGAGCCTTGGTGCCCGTTTAGATTGAAGCTGGAAGTGGTTTTTTCCCAGCCCTGTGCTGACCCTTTAGGAACTTAAGTTGAAACCCTTGGGGGCAAAGTGCAGAACTCGAGGCACCAGGGAAGTGCCAGGTCCAGAAGACCCAGTGCCCACAGTGGGCAGGCAGGGCAGCCAAGAGCTGAGGTGCACGCTGGGTGCTCGGCCAATTTCAGGACCGAGAGTTGAAGTGCTTCTGCCTCCAAGAGGGTGTCAGTGGGGGCCTGGAGCCCGAGGGGGGCCACTGGGTGGTACAGCGCTCTTGGGTTGGTGGCAAACCACAATGGGCTGGTGACGGAGGCCTGTAGGGAAAACAAGAGGTCTGAGAAGAGTGTGGCAGCCAGCAGGCCCACCCTCTGTAGAAATAGCACCTTCGGGAGTGGCCCCCACAGACCAGAGACCCACTCACCGGGCTGAGGAGGGAGAAGCTTAGAGAGAGGCTGGAGAGAGGGTCGGGGACTGATGGGCTCTGCATTTTCAGAGGACCAGGTGGGGTGACTAGAGGCCACTGGGCCATGGGCAGAAACAGGGCAGAGCTCCACAAGAGCCAGAAGCTGGGAAGAGATCCCGAACAAACTGGGTATCAGGACACGGGTCCAGGGGCACTGATGCCCTTGGGCAGAAGCTACTTGCGGAGCTCTTAGGAGGAGGAAGACAGGACACCCAGGCACGGGGAAGGAGGCTGCAGCCTCAGTGCTCAGAGGTGGAGCGGCCTCAGCCCACCTGCCCCGGCTCAGCTCTCCACCAGCTCTGGCCACTCCCTGCCCCTTGCATCTTAGTGGAAGCCAGGACAGCATTAGTGGGAGAGACGCCGCCTTCCCGAGGACACATGCAAGGATAAGCCATGCTGCCTGGAGCTCGGGGCACGCAAGGAGCGGAGTACGCGCCCGTCACTGCGGGGCTCCGGGTTATGGTTCCAGGTCATGCAGAGGAGGAAGGGCCTCGGCTCGCAGGAGTCCTGGGAGGTGGGCATGCGGTGGGCATGCAGAGGGCAGCTGTGGTACCCGGTACCTGTCAAGGGCCCCAACCTTGGGGGTTAACAGTTTGACTCATCATGGTGGGCTGCATCGCAGAAGAAGCGTGAGCCCCGCTTGGCAGTGCGGGCCGTGAAAGGGACACTCTTCAGTACTGTGGCCCAGGAGAGAGACACAGTGGTCAGACCCCAAGGCCGCGGGCCGGTGTGGTTGGGAGCTGGGAGCCGAGCTCGGAGGCCAGGCCCCGGGGAGGGGACAGGGCCGCACCTGTGATGATGTCCTCGATGGTTCCGTCCTTCCCCTCGTAGACGGGCCGGTGCTCCTTGGCTTGGCGCCGCCGCAGCTCTGCGATGAGCTCCTGCTGCTGCCACTTGTTCCGCTGCGACGGGGTCTGCAGGCGAGCATCGGAAGGGGAGGGGGTCATCGGGAACCTGCAGGGACTGGCTCCTGCCCCACCGTGCAGTCTGAGGACTGTGCTGCAGGCCCCCCCACTGCCTGGGCGCCTCCCCTCCCCCAGCGCCCTCCCGTCCCTCCCGACCCTCGACTGCAGCCTCGGGCCCTCTGGGTGGTCTGCGGCTCCAGCTTTCTATCTCCTCTTGTGTTCTCCGCTCCACCCACTCCTCTTCCTTCGCCCTGTTCTCCAGGCCTCAGCTCTTGGTCCCACCCACCTTGGCATCCAGTTTCTTGGCTTCCTGAGCCAGCTGCTTCTCCCGCATTACCTCCTCCTGCTTTTTGCGGGCTTCATTCTCTTGTTCTGCTTCCTAAGAACCATGGAAGGTGGGGGTGAGGCTCACCGAGGCGGTGAGAGGAGGGGCTGACGCAGGGTGGAGTGGGTGGCAGTGGGACGCTAACCCCAGGTGGCCACCCTCTGGAGGGGCACTTCCTGCTCCGAACAATGACAGGAAGGGCCTGGGCCCCCACCCTGCCCACCAGTTCACGGCTAAGAGGCCTGTGGCCGGCTTCCATCCCTGCCTCCCAGGACTCAGGAGACGGAAAAGGCCCAGACTTGAAGCCCAGCCCTCTCCGTTCCAGTTTTCCCCGTCACTCTGCGTTCAGAGCATCTCTCCCGCTCACCTTGTACGAACGAATGAACCGGACAAACACCGGGAAGAACACAGAAGGAGGCGTGGTCTTGGGGCTCTCCCCGAAGTAGCGCACGACGGCACTATAGGCTTCCTGGGAAAGGGGGGGCAGCAGGAGTCAGCCCGGCCGGGAAGGAGAAGTCTGGCTCCCCCCGAGAGACAGGAGGGCCACAGAACGCGGGCTCCAGGGCCAGCGCGGGAACTAGCGACTCCTGCCCCGGGGGCTAGAAGAGAGCCTGGGGCTCCCCGCGGTGGGCTCTGCAGCCCCTCGGCACCCGGTGCCCTGTCTCTGCCAACAGCCCGCCAGCTGCTTGGTGAAAGTGCTTTGACCCGAGAACCAGGCCCTACCCAGGGAAGGCCAGCACCCTGGCCCCAGCGGCTCCCCCCCGCCGGCGCCCGTGCTCGCCTCAGCGGTCTTGGCGTCACGCTGGAGCTTGTCCAGTTTGCCTTCATTGGTGCCGAGGAAGTTCCGAAGGACGCTGTTGTCATGGATGCTGCACTCCCGCCGAATCAGCTCCATGCCCCGGCCCAGCTCCTTCACGTCTAGCAGCACGTTCTCCAGGGACACTGGTCACCAGAGCCCAGACTGAGGCCTGTCCGGGCCCAACGTGCCCGCCCCCAGCCCATGCACAGCGCACTCTGCCCCCCCCCCCCTTCAGCATGGGCTCATCTGGGTCCTCATGCCCCTGCTCCCTGAGCCCCTGTGTGGACACGGAGAAGAGACACCGCCGAGCGGGTCCTCACGGGAGTGAGGAAAGGCATGGTGGCTGTGCGTGCACGCCCCCGAAGAGCAAGGCCGCAAGGAAGGCCAGCCAGAGAGGCTGCCGGTCTCTAACACAGAGCGGTCTCAGGCCTGCCCAGGTGTTCATGAATGTGGCAGAACTATGAGCTACCTCCCATCTCTGGGCTCTCTGATTTTTCTAAACAGACCCCTCGGAGAAACGCAGCCTCCGTGGCCAGCCAGAGGAAGTTGGGAGTGGAGAGCCACAGCTGCCCTCCTGCCTGCTCTCACCGCACCCAGGTGGGAAGGGCTGGGTGGGCCTGGTGCCCACAGGAAGGCTCCCTCTGGGGTGGCCCCAGCGGAAAGCTTTGAAGCAGTCAGAAAGACAACGCGAGCCAGAAACAAAGGGGCCCAAGTGTTCCCTCTCCGCATGGCTTCCTGGGATTGTCCTGAGCTGGACCTGAGGGCAGGCTCCCCTCACCTGCTGCAGCCTTCTCCACAAAGTGCAGCTCGTGCCAGAAGTTGGCCAGGTCCGGGTATTTCTCCTTCACCGTCAAGGCGATGAAATGCAGCAGTGTCATCTTCCTGTCCGTGGACTTGGTGTCCAGCAGCTGGGAGAGAGGAGCAGGAGGCAACGCGAGAGGGCTGAACACCCTGGCTCCATGGCCGCTGCCCCCTGGCTAAGGGCCCCGTGTGGTCCCCACCATCTTACCAGGTCCAGGCTCTGCAGCTTGAAGCCGTACACAGCTCCTCGCTTGCTGCTGTTCATGTAGTTCCCCAGCGCGAGGATGATCTGCCAACGACACAAGGGAGGAGAGGTCAGGTCAAGCTTCCAGGCCTCCTTCCTCTCTGGACAGCCCCAGGCCCCCCCACTTCAGGACCTGGGAAACAGCAGTACCCCCATCCACAACCTCTCCCCACCTCCAACATCTGCTTCAGCTTCTGTGAGGACTTGACCGAGGCCGAGGCTGCAATGATGGCGTTGAGTTGCTGGAAAGCAAAATGAAGAGCTGAGTAACCAGGCCAAGACGGGGGCCCCGGAGAGGGCAGGGAGGCGACCAGCAGGTAGAGCGGTTGTACCGGCGTAAGCATCTGCAGGTTGTCCTGGAAGTTGCCCAGGAAGGCCATGCCAGCCATTCGCTGGGTCAGCCGCTCCACCTTGCTGAAGAGCAGCATGAAGCGGTCCTCGGCCGCCAGCTCCTCCAGGGGCTGCCGCTCCCGCTCATACTGGCGCAGCAGCTTCACCTCAGCCTCGGTGGGCAGGAAGCGCATCAGGCACTCCACGAAGTCCACTGGGAGCGTCTGCAGGTCAAACCTGTGTAGGAGGGAGGGCCACCTCAGGGCTCGTGTGTGCCCACACTGTGGGCTTCCCCTTTTATTCTCCAACTCCCGGAAGGACTGAGGGTGGGTGCTGTGAGCAGGACAGCCAGA